TGCTCATGGATAGGAAGAATCAATATCCTGAAAATGGCCATACTGCCCAAGGTAATTTGTAGATTCAATGCCATCCCCATCAAGCTACCTATGACTTTCTTCACAGAATTGGAAAAAACTGCTTTAAAGTTCATATGGAACCAAAAAAGAGCCCGCATCTCCAAGACAATCCTAAGTCAAAAGAACAAAGCTGGAGGCATCACGCTACCTGACTTCAAACTATACTACAAGGCTACAGTAACCAAAACAGCATGGTACTGGTACCAAAACAGAGATATAGACCAATGGAACAGAACAGAGTCCTCAGAAATAATACCACACATCTACAGCCATCTGATCTTTGACAAACCTGAGAGAAACAAGAAATGGGGAAAGGATTCCCTATTTAATAAATGGTGCTGGGAATATTGGCTAGCCATAAGTAGAAAGCTGAAACTGGATCCTTTCCTTACTCCTTATACGAAAATTAATTCAAGATGGATTAGAGACTTAAATGTTAGACCTAATACCATAAAAATCCTAGAGGAAAACCTAGGTAGTACCATTCAGGACATAGGCATGGGCAAAGACTTCATGTCTAAAACACCAAAAGCAACAGCAACAAAAGCCAAAATTGACAAATGGGATCTCATTAAACTAAAGAGCTTCTGCACAGCAAAAGAAACTACCATCAGAGTGAACAGGCAACCTACAGAATGGGAGAAAATTTTTGCAATCTACTCATCTGACAAAGGGCTAATATCCAGAACCTACAAAGAACTCAAACAAATTTACAAGAAAAAAACAAACAACCCCATCAAAAAGTGGGCAAAGGATATGAACAGACATTTCTCAAAAGAAGACATTCATGCAGCCAACAGACCCATGAAAAAATGCTCATCATCACTGGCCATCAGAGAAATGCAAATCAAAACCACAATGAGATACCATCTCACACCAGTTAGAATGGCAATCATTAAAAAGTCAGGAAACAACAGGTGCTGGAGAGGATGTGGAGAAATAGGAACACTTTTACACTGTTGGTGGGATTGTAAACTAGTTCAACCATTATGGAAAACAGTATGGTGATTCCTCAAGGATCTAGAACTAGATGTACCATATGACCCAGCCATCCCATTACTGGGTATATACCCAAAGGATTATAAATTATGCTGCTATAAAGACACATGCACACGTATGTTTATTGCAGCACTATTCACAATAGCGAAGACTTGGAATCAACCCAAATGTCCATCAGTGACAGATTGGATTAAGAAAATGTGGCACATATACACCATGGAATACTATGCAGCCATCAAAAAGGATGAGTTTGTGTCCTTTGTAGGGACATGGATGCAGCTGGAAACCATCATTCTTAGCAATCTATCACAAGAACAGAAAACCAAACACCGCATGTTCTCACTCATAGGTGGGAACTGAACAATGAGATCACTTGGACTCAGGAAGGGGAACATCACACACCGGGGCCTATCATGGGGATGGGGGAGGGGGGAGGGATTGCACTGGGAGTTATACCTGATGTAAATGACGAGTTGATGGGTGCAGCACACCAACATGGCACAAGTATACATATGTAACAAACCTGCACGTTATGCACATGTACCCTACAACTTAAAGTATAATAATAATAAATAAATTTAAAAAAAAAAGAAATTTAATTGCCATTGTGACAATATTAAGAGGTGAGACTATTAAGATGAATCAGACCATGAGGTCTCCACTCTCATGAATAGACTAATGTTGATAACGCAGTAGTGAGTTTGGTATTGCTAGAGTGGGTTGGTATGAAAGTGAGTTTGGCCCTCTCTTCCTTGCTCTCTCTCACTCCCTTGTGCTTCCATTTTTTGTCATGGGATGCCACAGCAAGAAGGTCCTTGCCAGAAACCAGCTCCTTGATATTGGACTTTCCATCCTCTAAAACTGTGAAAAATACATTTCTTTTGTTTATAGATTACCCAGTCTCAAGTATTATGTTATAGCAGCAGAAGATGGACTAAAACAGCTGCTTTGCCAACTAGGTTACTTTTTGGCAAATCTTCAACCTTCATTACCCATGTTTCCCTCCCCAAAGCTGTTATTTAAATGAAGTAAAGAAAAAGGCATATACTTTATTACTGAATTTTCAATGCTCGGTGGATGATTGAGTTAGCCTGACAGCTTTTTGCAAAAAGGTAGGTTTTGAGATAGCTTTCTTTAACTTTGAAATTTGAATGTCTTCAAATATTTATTTACGGGTAAAACTTCTTTAATTATCTGATTGATCTCTAGCTCTAAGGGGTCTAATTGGTACTTTATATTTCTATTTCTGCCAAATATGAGCCCTAGTTTTGATTTAAAATATGAATTACAAAATGCCAAATTTTTTTCTTTATTTCCACTTTGATAACTGTTCTTCCCATAGAATGGCATCTCCTTTTTTGCCCATGTATATTGTATCCATTTCTCAAAACACAGCTGAAGTTTTAATCCCACATAAACTGTGTCACAACTACTTTAAACCACAATTATAGTTCCTTCTTCTGAATTTCTATTGCAGTCTTAGCTTATACCATGCAGCTAATGGTCTGTGTCTATTTTTTATACAATTATACAATTTTTCAATAATTTTATAGATGTAACTTTGCCTCCCAAGAGAATTAGAACATTCCCTGAAATCAATATGGATTGAGTATTTAACTTTTTTAGTAAAATCAACACTTAACACACTACTGAATGCATGCAGTAGGAATTCAATAAATATGGACTATTTGCACAAGAGAAAACAAGTTACAAACAAAATATGAGGTAATATCCATAAATTATACACTTCATGGCTTTGAAAAATTCTTAGTGCCATGGTCATTGTCATTGTCCCCAGCAATTTGGTTCCTATATTACACCGTACTCTTATGTAATCCAATTAAGATGATATCTTACCAAACAGCTATTTCTAGGTAAAAACAGTTTATTATTATAATAATTTGATAAGAACAAAAGACATTCCTCAGGCTTTGTTGCTATTATCAGGAAAAAAATATGCAACCTATTATACTGAAACTATTTATCTAAATGTGATTTGCCAACTATTAGCAGGCATTAACCCAAGTTGCAGTTTCCTCTCTGATACGACAAGAAGTAAAAGAGCTTTAGCACTCCACAGCAATAATATTGCTAATAATACTGTTATTTTTACATGAGGACCAGGTGCATAATAAACTGAAGTAAGAATAGAAACAGAATCTGGGGAATCAAGAGATTACTTAATAGTGAACCACGCTAGGCAAGTGAACTGATTCTTCTAGAAAATGTGATGGAAACATGCCACTTTCTTGTATAGATGGAGAAAACACACTCTGACAGGAAGATGTGAACTTGGAGACCCCAAAGGTCACTTCTATATGAGTTGTGTTGATTTGCAATAGTGACCATTCCTTTACATTAGTACTTTGTACTTATGCATTATTCTCTCTCTCTCTCTCTCTCACAGATACACAGACACCACATATCTAAAAATTGAAGCACATGATGTCTGAGTCTGTTATATTTCCTTAAGAGAAAAGAAATATACATTACTGTTGAACTTTAGCAGCATATGCTAATATTGAAAATAAGGAAGACACAATCTCCCAGGTCTAGCCTGCACAGCATAAATTTTATGCAAATTTAGGCAGGTTTGCCAAGTTTATGGCTTTGTCCTGGAGCAACGTTAGTTATCTTGGATGATGGAATGGTTGTTGTAATTTCAGAGCAATTAATCTGTAGATCAATGGCAGAAAAGAAAGCTGGGAAAGTACACTTGCTTAAAGTAAGGGAAGTGGATGAAATTTAGGCAGGACAAACAGAAAGTTCCCTAGCCAAAAAAGTTAAAAGGCCAAATCTGAGCTAATATTTATAAATTTATGATAACTCTTATGCCATTTATTCTGACCCTCCCAACTTGAGAGAAACTTCCAGAGCTGTATTACAGGAAATACACACACACACACACACACACACACACACACACAGAGACAGAGAGGGAGACAGAGACAGAGACAGAAAGAGAGTTTATAAACTAATAGGCAAGATGAAGGATATAACTGCAACGTGAGAGGCTAAAAAATAATGTCACAATGATTCTTAGAAGAGTTCTTGTTTCGGCCGGGCGCGGTGGCTCAAGCCTGTAATCCCAGCACTTTGGGAGGCCGAGACGGGCGGATCACGAGGTCAGGAGATCGAGACCATCCTGGCTAACACAGTGAAACCCCGTCTCTACTAAAAATACAAAAACTTAGCCGGGCGAGGTGGCAGGCGCCTGTAGTCCCAGCTACTCGGGAGGCTGAGGCAGGAGAATGGCATAAACCCGGGAGGCGGAGCTTGCAGTGAGCTGAGATCCGGCCACTGCACTCCAGCCTGGGTGACAGAGCGAGACTCCGTCTCAAAAAAAAAAAAAAAAAAAAAAGAAGAGTTCTTGTTTCATCTTCACAGATAGAAAAGCAATTTAGCCCCCAAACTTTCGTTCCCCATCAAGTTAATAATATGCATCCCCAAACTGGAAGTTTAAATTACAATTTTAGGCACAGTCCTCTGCTGAATGCGTTTCCAGATTTGAGGAGACTTGACAACTACCTTGTATAAAGTAAAACTTCATAAATAGTTCTTTAAAAAATATCACGCTTCCATGATTCTTCTAAATCTTTCTTGAAACGATTTGTCTTTCCAACTGCCCTGCATCAGAATTATTGTAGTGAATGGCTTTACCATCCATCTACTACTGTGCAAACACCAGTCCCACATTTAAGTTCAAAGGCGTGTCACAGATTCATCCCCACCCCTCCCCACTCCTTTTCTCCCTCCCTTCCTTAGCAACTGGTAACCCCAGAAAGATAACTCCAAATCTAGAAAGAAGCAGTTGGTCCCTGGCTTCATTCGAGTTGCCAAGCCTCTAAGGCAGAAGCAGGAGTCATTTCTCCAGACCGAGCTGGCCTGTTCAGCGGGTTATCTCCACCACCTCAGGAAAGCTATCCTGATCAAATTTCTGCATGGCTTGTATTGAAAACGTGTAAGTACAAAACCGAGTACAACTGTTTAATTTTGAAGGCAAAGTCAGTTTGAATTGCTTTATTGTGTAACTGGGACAGGGATGAGTGGATTGGAGGAAATGTGGGAGGAAATCAGAGACAAAAACTTGAAGGATATAAATTTAGTTACGAAGAATACTGGATTTAAGAGTGGCCAGTGTAATTTTGAAGTGTAATTTTGAAAGAAAATTTGCAAGGCCCTAGTCTAAACAGTGGGGTTTAAACATGAGGAAATTGTTACTCTAGGGTGTGGTGTTGGTTGAATGAAAGGAATTTTTAACAAAATTTGGTGTGAGTGTTGAATGATACCTCAAGAAGAGAAACTTGTGTTTGTTAACATAATTAACTTTTCTTTGACTTCTGTGAAGAAAAATATATTTTACTTTGGAAGACATACCAGAACAATCTTGCCAGAATCTGAATGCCAGGATTAGTGAATCATAGATACTAGAGAGAATTGAAAAAGCTGGTATTTTCTATTATATGCTTACTATTGAGTTATGTGCGTCTTCTAAGTTTCCTTGCTGCCTTGTGGAGGTGGGGAAATGAGGAAATAGGTCACTGAGTAGTCATGAAGGGTAATCTTGTAGCCTAGTACTAAAGAAGCCACCTGGGAAGAGGCCAGTGCACTGAGCAAGTACTTGGCTACACATAGGGGAGAGGGCACTCCCTTTTTCCCTGGTATATTTCAGTGAGCTCAGTCAATTACATATTTTATCTATTTTCTGGTCACTGCATTTCCATTTTTATTAGCTGTTTGATTTCTTTTTTTGCAAGCCTTGGAGGGCACGCCCCTTCACCCTTGGTAGTAGCTGTGGACAAAAATGGGAACCAGGAGCTGCACCTCGATATGCCCCTGCAATGTCTGAGTTCCAAGCCGGAGGATGACACAGAGCCCTGGGGTCTACCTCAAGTACTGCTGAGACCTTCCGTCAATGTGCTGACTGATCTGGCTAGCGAGCAACCGGAGTGCCCCTCTGAGAGAACAGGATCCTGCATTCCTGTTCATAGTTTGAGAGCTCTTAGACACCCCTATGGGCCACCACCTGCTGTTGCAGAAGAGTCCCTAGCAACAGCAGAAGTAAATAGCTCTGATGCACTGGCAGGCTGGAGGCAGGAGGGACAGGATGCTATTAATGTGTCCTGGGAAGTCTCTGGCAGCCCTCCTGCGCTGATAGTAGGGGGCACAAAGGTCAACAGTGAGGGCACTGAGAGAGGGAGTAATAATGCAAGGTTGTATGTGGCTTTGCCACGAGGTAAAGGGTTCTGTTCACCCAGGGGCCCACAAGTGAGAGGCCCTTCACATATTACCACCCTTAGATCAGGGATAGTAATGGAGGTGCCTCCCAGAAATACACGAATAGCCTGCAGAGGAAAGCTGGCTCATGTTTCTTTCCCACTCGGGGACCCATGCCACCCCATGCATAATTGGCCAAGGCCTATCCCGTTGTCTTCCAGTACTCCAGGTTTACCTCCTTGCTCTGCTGCTCATTGTTTCATCCCTCCTCGACCTCCGATTTTCAATCCATTTATTGCTATGCTTCTTCCTTTTGCTCCTCCTCCAATATTTCATCCTCCACTGCCTTCTTATTTTGTCCATTTCCATTCTGGGGGAATGCCAGCTCCTGCATCACCCAACAGAGAGCACAGCTGATGGCAAAAAGGAAGGATGAAAAAAGGGTTGTGGAAAGAGGTGAGAGGTGAAAGTTATTCATATATGCTTTTATATTTGAAACCTCGTACCCGTCCACACTCTGTTTAGCACGAATGTGCCCTGTTTGAAGCCTTGTACTCTCCCACACTCTGTTAAGCACTAATGTGCCCTACATACTGGAGATTCAATAAAGATTGTAAACTTTGAAATGTTGTAAATTATTTTTCAAAATACCACCGCAGGAACCAAAGCCTTGGATTTTGTATTCTATCTTTAAGTAATTAAAGCAGAAACAACCCTGTCAGTGTTTTCTAAATAGCTTAGTTAAATGACTGTTACTATTTTCTACTGAGTTGTCTTGTAGTGTGACTGGGGAAGGGTGGTTAGGTTCTTCCTAGGCCAAGGCTAGATTGGGGAATCTCTATTTACCCAAGACTATAAGGGGTGCTCAGAACTGGATGGCTTAATTAAGAAAAGGTTCATAAAGGCAGCCCAAAGTCCAGATAATAGAGAAAAATGAACAAATGGTAAAAGAAGCCAGATGAGATTGAGGTGAGAGTAATAGAGTCAACATTTAGCAGTCACAGGCAGAACCAAGTTGAAAAGTCAGGAAAGTAGGAGGAGGGAAGATGGAAGCATATTCTTAGACCACTGCTTCAACACGAACTGGTGTTTGTGTTTCAACTTTTCCTTGTTGCTAATTACATAGTATATATAGCTCTGGCTCAATAAGAGTTCAAAATCAAGGTGGAACGGGGCTGATCCTTTCACCCTTTGTCTCAACAAAGAGCTTACTATATGTGTTAGTCCATTCCCACACTGCTAATAAAGACATACTCAAGACTGGGTAATTTATAAAGAAAAGAGGTTTAATTGACTTACAGTTCCACGTGGCTGGGAGGCCTCAGGAAAATTACAATTAGGTCAGAACGGGAAGCAAACACGTACTTCTTTACATGGCAGCAGGAAAGAAAAGTGCAGAGTGAAGGTCGGGGAGGCACTTATAAATCTGACAGATCTTGTGAGAACTCACTCATTATCACGAGAACAGCATGAAGATAACTGCCCCCATGATTCAATTACCTCCCAGTGGATCCTTCCCAAGACAGACACATGGGGACTATGGGAACTACTATTCAAGATGAGATTTGGGTGAGAACACAGCCAAACCATATCACTATATGCTCAAAACTTTGAAGTGCAAATGAAAATACTTTACTCACATGGAAATATTTTTCTCAGATACTGCTGTGTTTGTATTCCTCATAATTTGTTACAGCACCCCATTATAATGATGGTTCTGAGAGATTATCAAAATGTTCAGATGAGAGCTTTTAAAATTTCAAGTAACAAAAATAAGAATGCAGCATGCAGTGTGAAAGGATGTACATTTTGACAGCTGTATAACAATTCACTATATAGTAAATGACCTAAAACATAGTGCCATTGTACATGAACAACCAGTCAACTAGAAATGTCTGAGGAGGATGTTTATTCAAATAAGCATTTTTAATATTCTGTGCTGATACTGTAGGTGATTTAACCAGTTAGACAGAGGTTGAAAAAACCTGCCAGAGACAAAAACTAATAATGAATTTTTAGCACCAACAAAGAGTCATTTCTACTCTGGTGAGAAGGACACATAGATTCATTAAGTTTCTTTTTTCGTTAGAAAAAATAATAAGTCATTCTAAATGTACAGGTGGTATTCTAAGGTTTAGCAGGAATATCTGGATAGTGCCTGATAGAATTCCTCTCACCCCATGTATTTCCTGAAACTGTCATGATTCCACCAATTCACTCTGGTGGATTGAACAGAAGTATTCAGCACATCTTTGTACAGCTGCTCATGATAAGGTAGCTTAGTCCTAGTGTACTAAATATTTATTGAATTTTAATCCTTATGAACAGAGAAGTAGGTCATCAAAATCTCTTTGGAGCCAGATGTTTAAAGATGTTTGGAGAAGAAATCAAGTCATCATGTCAATGGTAGTGCTACGTCCCTAGAGAGTTGCCGAAAGGTGTAATTGACAGCAGGACAGGATTCGTTTTCCTGCTCAAAGGAAGGAAGTAGCTCAGATCAACACTCAGAAAAACTTAGCTTACAATTAATTAAAGAAATCCATGACGAATTGACTAGAACAAGCAAGTGACATCAATACAATTGGCTGCTTTTCAACTCTCTTTTCTCTTTCCTCACCCTGTGTGTGTTTTTAAAAAATATATTCTATGTCATGTCTAAACACTGAATACCAATAGTAAGCAATAATGAACACCTATTAGCAAATTGAGACACCAAAGTTTTATTTATACCTCTGAGGTGCAGGATAAATATGTTTTCTTTAGTTTATGAAGAGTTCTGTGCCTATAAAACCAGTTTCAATGGATGCAAGCATGAAATAAGCCTGGAATCCTGCTATTAAATGCAAATGTAATGCAAATATTTTTGTTTATACATGGCTTCTGCATGGAAATACTGTATTACTTTGTTATCACACATGAAAGTATCCTGAATGACAGCAAAACATCTGTTTTTAAACTAACAAGTCACTTTAAAGTTGTTTTTAAAAATTATTCTGGTAGAATGTGATCCATATTAATCCTAAACCATAACATGATATTCATTTTGGAAAGCACTCATAAAGTAACGTATTCAACACTCTTGAATATATATTATTTATTTTTATTCTCTGTGGCTTAAACAGATTCTAGTCACAAAAGAGAAAGATGAACATCAACAAAGTAGTCCTTTCTTCTGGTAATAATGATAACGGGTTAAGTATTTCCTATTTGAAGCTATAATCATTGTCACAAGAAGATTCATGTTATACTGTTTATTATTTATAGTTCTCATTATATTCCTTGTCACAAGACTGTAGCATCAGAATTTTAATGTCCTATATATTCTCTAGAAGATAATAGTAAACTCTACAACACTGACCTTTTACATGTCTACAGTATGATTCATTAGCCATTTCTATTTTTCACTGTTTACAACTTCTGTAGCATGGGTGCAAAAGGTACACATACAGCCAATGAAAGTGCAGAATACTGAAAAGGTTGAAGTTCAAAGTTATGAAATATTTAAAGTTTATAGTCTTTCATAAACTAGAATGCCATTAACATTATGCCTCATTCTTCTGAGAATTATTACAACAAAAAAACTAAACAGGACCAAATTATTTATTTTCACTGGAGTCTTAAGGTTGAAAACACAGTGCTATCTTTCTCCACCATGAAACAAGAGGCTCACTGTGAGGTTGTCACTAAATAACTGGGTAGCACATATATAATGGGAGAGAAGAAAATCATTCCATAACTATTATGTAGTACTATAACAATGGCTGTGCATTATTCATTGTTACTGAGAGATAATTTTTAAAGTCCCTAAATAATGGGCTATGTAAAATGACCCTATTTCAAGACAAATGAGCCAAAGTCAGAGTCAAAATATATTTTATACAGGTAAAAAACATAATGTCAGGTCAAAGGCTAATTTCATAGCTACCACAAAACCTTAAATGTCTTCTTTATAATGAGATGGATTGAGTGATATTCCCATATAAAGATAAGGAGATAAGACTGAATTAAGTAAAATAGTTCATCTTTTTCTCTTTGGTGATATTACTTGTTGTCTTATAATAATAATGTATAGCATTTATCAAATCAAGTCTAGATTTGAGAAGTTAGAGAAATTGTGCTTCATCATGCAATCTTTCTCTTAAGTGCTTGAGAAGGTGCTACTCTTGCTAAACAATGATTAAATAAATGCACTTTCTCACCCACCTTTGAGGACTTTACTGTCATTCAGAAAAACTTTCCAGTGTTTGCATTTCTCAAAAACAAAACCTCTCAGTTAAACTTACTTTTATGAAAGTGACTTGGCTATTTCTTTTTGGGAATGAAAGGGTGTGCTGTATTATTTTATACAGGTAAACTATATTTTTCCTCAACTCTGAAAATTCCCTTCCTCATGTAAAATAAAACAATATAAATAAAGCCCATAAATGCATCAATCCTGCAACAAAGGACTTTATCCATCTAATCATGCTTGATCATAAAATTTGCCTGGAAAATTATACTTGTAACTGATTCATCAAACACCCCGATTATAAAAACTGTGACTCAGAGGTAAAGCAGCACAGGGAGTATGGGGGAATTGATGGATGGTGTTTGCACATGTGACAAAGAGAAGACAGATGGAGAAAGACTGAAGATTAAAAATAGAGGGGGTAGGGACACAGTCAGTTAAGAAGATACAAAATTCTTTAGAACAGGAAGCAGCTGCAAATTGGAAATACTATGGGAAAAATAATAAATTTGGATGTGGCAGAATATAATCCAGAGAAAAAAGGGTGAGGTGGTTTGAAAAAAAGTAGTGTTACATATTAAATGTTTCATGACAGAAAAATCTATGTGCAAAAGCCACAGATTTGAGGGCGTGGGGATGAGGTGATTAGAGAAATATTATCCAGTCTTCTTAAAAGTGAATTCATCACCACTGCTTCATTCCTTCCTATAAATATCTCTCCTTAGATAGCAGTCAATCTCACATTCCCTATGCCAAACTGGAAACACTTTCTGGTTTAGGTTTCATTAATCCACCAAACAAGCCTAGACAAACAAACACATCATCATCCAGGTTAACTTCGTTGGTGATGTGGGTATGCAATGAATTGGGCTCAAACAAGAACATGTTTTCCTTAAAGTTCTCAAATATACCAGATCTTCATTTTTTAAATTTAAACTTTAATAACTTTCCTCTAGTGAGGTACACTGATGATTTTCTAATTTTGTCTTTTATTCCTCCCCACAAAATTATAATTTCTTAGGTAGAATTGCTGACATTATTTAAGCACACTTTATCCAGAAAACAAGTAATCTATTATGTTCACCAGGGGAATATTCATACCTACTTTTGGTAAAAAATTCATTTTATTAATCCTCATTGATACTTGATAGCTAATTAACAATGCATTCTATAATAAATAAGTGAAGGC